AGATAAGGAAGAGGAAGAGGAGGAGGAGGAGGAGGAGGAGGAAAAGGAGGAAGAAGAGGAGGAGAGGGAGGAGGAGAGGAGGAGGAGGAGAGGAGGAGGGGAAGAGGAGGAGGAAGAGAAGGAAGAGAAGGAGGAGGAGGAGGAGGAGGAGGAGGAGGAGGAGGAGAAAGCACGGTGAATTATATGCGTTACTGCCGACTTCATCAGAAACACATCGAAAACTATTATGCGCGGGAAAGATAAATCGGGTTACATTTGGGTTTTCGATATGGCGCCATAATATTTTACGTTGGCGATTATTATTAGACTATTTCTATCTAATATAGCAAAATGCAAAGAATAAATCACATTACCATTGTAATAGATCTTAGTAATCATCTCATTTCCTACTCCGATGGTACATTCCTCTATGCTGAAATCAGTAACTAGAGGCATTCCCATGTAGAAGTCATAGAAATTTGTTGTCATGAACGCCGTAGCTTCCTCCTGTATAGATAAAATACAACATGAAATAACCTACTTCATATGTTAGATTATTCTTTATAGTAATCTTTATTTGTTATTGGTGAAGCAAGATCAGTACACAGGGAAGTAAAACGATAACGTGGAATTAATTATAAGTTGTTTATCGCGCTTTTATGTGAATGCGTTCAATTGTTATTTTGGTATTTTCATATCATTAAAATAACTCACCGAAAAATCAGCCATAGATACTAATACTGTCTGTACATTTTTACTATTTCAACTCCATTAGTTTCTCCTAACCCATTCCTCTAACACTCGTTCCTCTATGCCACCCTTTCCTCAACACCTCAATCGCTGCAACGCTAGTAGGCTCCTTAACCATACCAGGTAGTGTCAGAACAATTGCAGCAGTATAGTCATAGTTCTAACATTAGGATAGCTCTGACAATGGCTACCAGTATCAATATTCACATCCATACCCGGAAATCACCAAATACTGTAAATAGCGTGCTTCAAATTATAATAAATAAATAATAAATAGACTAAAAAAAATGCAAATACAAATACTGTAAATAGCGTGCTTCAAATAATAATAATAATAATAATAATAATTATAATAATAATAAAATTAATAGACTCACCGTGCTTCCTTCAAGAATATAAGTAATGCGAGCATTGGCAGCAACTATGATCTCTTCGTGCGCGAGGCTACCCGGCACCCATTCTGGAGCATCTCCCTGTGCATTGACACGTAATGTCATTCAACCAATTACTGTACTTCATGACTTCTGTATTCTGAAAACTGTATATATTCTCGAACGCTAAGTTGGTTAAGTTTGAACATTGTCGTGGATCTAGAACAGTGAGTAACATCGAGGTAATATTATCAAAACCATAGAAAGAAACGAACTGTCATGAATTTGCTATTGTATGTTGTACCTGCGAAAATGCTACGTCAAAGATGGCGCTCTTTACGTTGATGCCAGGTACCTGCGGAAGATGCTCTACGGCCACGTCTGCTACCCACACATTCACGGGTATCTCCCTCATCACGCGCTGTTTGTATTGAATAAAGCATAAGCGTACGAATAGAGAAAAAATAACCGATTACTCGACAAGACGATCTCGAGTTTTTCCGAGGCAGTAATACAAAGGTTCTGCTACGTTCGTACCCGCAGTTATTTGTGAGTTTACTAAACCCTAATCTATTAGCATTTTAGTATTTGGTATTTGTTGCATCAGCACTGTCGAACCTGGGCGAGTTAGCAGTAGTTGAATTAAAGTTGAGTTTCGCATTTTATATATCATAGAAGTTACATTACAAGGCGCGCGACAGATCTACAAGAATTATGATGGAGAAGAGTAAGATTCATTGCAGAAGGTATCGAGAACAACCTCTTCTCTCTCTCTCTCTCTCTCTCTCTCTCTCTCTCTCTCTCTCTCTCTCTCTCTCT